CTCTCTCTCTCTCTCTCTCTCTCTCTCTCTCTCTCTCTCTCTCTCTCTCTCTCTCTCTCTCTCTACCTCCCGTTCTCTCTTTCTCTCGACTTCGTTTTTTTCCTCTTGCGTGATCGCTGCAAACCCGATTAATCGATTACTAGCGACTCAACGGCTCTTTGAACTTGCAAGACACAGCAGCGGCTCGCTCGCCCGGCGTAGCTTTATTTAGAACCGAAGGAATCGAGGAAGTAAACAGCCTATTTCTTTGCTGCAAACGCAGTGGTGGATGCGGTGCATCAGTTCTGGCGAAACAGGAAATGTTTCTTTACTCTTTGTGAGACTTTTGTCGAAATTTATTGCGCATGTTCTTGTGGATTCTTAACGCTAAAGCTATAACGCTGGTCAAAATGACCGGTTTAGCATTATTTTTATTACCATTTTCTTTCTTTATTATTATTTTTATTATTATTATTATTTTTAAGTCGGTGAAATTTTAAAGACTCTTTCATAGGAAATGATTGAGTTAATATCTTGATTCAAACGTATATTATGATAAAAATTATGGAAGTTTAAATACATTAAGTCTTGTAAGAGTGTGAAGTTACACACACATCAGTCGCCTTTAGTATTCGTAGAGTTCATATAGATAAGAAAAATTGTTACAGTATTTAACAGTAATTTTACAAAACAGCGATAACTCCGTTGCTTTATAAAAAGATGTCAAGGATTCAGATTTGTAGAGATTTTTTATTACAATATATATCCAGTGACACAAGTTTATCGAACAAATTCCCCATAAACGCATCTTTGCAAATTCAATAATCGTAAATAAAAAATTTGCAACATATCAAAATGGCGCACGAAAATATTCAGTACTAAACAGCGTTTTGTAGACTATGCAAAAAGATATGAGCTCGAAGTACCCAGTTTTTGCTAAGATATGATCATTTTCCGAGAACGCCTCCTAGATTGCGTATTTTCGCACTTACGACAAAAACAAGCAGCTTGAAAAAGTTTGAAGGTTTGAAAGTCTCCAAAAAAGAAGAGCGAGAAAATTCCCAAAGTCTTGTTCCAAGCAAAAAGTTCGCCGTAATGAAATTAACACTATGCCGTCCGGTGGCACCACGCTGGTGCCATGCAAAAACTATCTGTTGTACGCCGGTGGTACCACTTTGGTGTCATTTTAAAAAACTGAAATAACATTTGAACTATATTTCTTGGGTGTTAAGAGGCAGCGAACTAACTATAGCATCCTGCTTATTTAACTAAGAATTAAGTACGAAAATTCTTGGATGACATGTCTCAATTTTAAGAATTTATATTACCGCCATCTTCGAAATTTTTTAAAAATCTAACATTTCCAAGCTAATATGCCGGCGTCAAACAAAAGAATGATATCTAAGATCTGCGGACGGCATAGCGTTAATATCCGTGCGAATGATTTTCGCGCCGTAGAACGGACCGAACCAGCCAAACGATTCCCCCAAAAATCAGATTAACGAGGATCGCCGAAAGGACTGCCAGTTATCTGCAGCCACGAAGTGGTTGAACGTTCCCTTAGGAACGGCGTCGAGCCAATAAAAGTTCGAAGGAGATTCGTCCCGTCAAAAACGGGGCTCTGTATCTACATCGCGATAGGCGTCGCCGGCTTGGAAGCCGGGCGATCGATTTGCTGTCACATCGGGGCGCAATCCAACCACCTAGTTGTCAATGCAAGGGTTAAACTGCCGCAGTGGCCAATGGTACAGGGAATCCTCTGTCACAGAAATCTCGAATCCCTTCCGCGAAAGGAAACACCGATCCTCCCCTGTCACCGATGATTATCAGTTCCCGTTGGCCGCGTCCCGCTCGCCCCTAACGATCGACTGGCTGTCAGGGTGGTTAAAAGGGCCCGTGTTTCGAGGGGGAAGGGGGGGTGGCATAGGTTCAAGCCTATCGCAGTCGACCGTGTTCGTCCCGTCGTCACCGTTCGCGGATTGATCGGCCGAGGGAACGGGGCATTGCGGTTTGTCTCGGGGAACCGAAGCACTCACCCCCCGAAACCCGAGCCGTGGCCCGGGGGTTGCAGTTGTCACAGCGGCGCGGCGGGAACAGAGCCGGCCGCTTTGAGCCCGCGGCCGCCGCGTCGCGCCGGTCGGGAGGAGCTTTTTTCCTCTCTGCCATTACGTCTGGCCGGAAAGTCCCCGAGGGCCTGCAGCAGCCGACTGCACGC